TACTGTCAATGAACATGGACTGACAATCTTACATAAGCTCTTTTCTATTAGAGACACAGCCACCCTCGTATTTACTAAACATACTACTACTACTTGTTTGGATTCATAGTCTGACGACCCCTGTGGGTGTGTATTACTGAAGAAAATCAAATCAAATGGTGATTCAGCGAAGAGACTCTTTTCCAAGGAATTTATCATCAAGCTGTACAATCGTATATATATGGGTTTTTTTTTAAGAAGTTATATCCGGTGAGGGAATTGAAACATAGGTGTGAATGCATAAAATAATAATATGAAATGCAATTAAAACTAAAATGTTTGTGATTATAATCATAGTTCAATGTCAAGTGGCAAAGCAAATTAATGTCATACATAGAATAATTCATAGGATGGATAGAACTTGAGAAAGGGTGTGCAATTATAAGATTAGTAGACAAATCGAATAAAATAAATACGTTACGTAATATTGTGTGAAATTTGACAGCATAGAATTTTACGTTGTAAAACAGAATTGATTTAGAATGACAAGTGGAATAAGTGAAATAATACCGGGGACAATTAAAAGTGAGAGTAGTAATAGTAACAATTGACTCAATAAGGAAGAGTATACAAATTGAATAGACAAAAAGGAAAAAATGAAAAATTGGTTGAGCTAAAATAAGATTGGGGATTACCATACTTTAGCATAGAGGGATTAAGACACCATGGAAGTTGGAGGGATTGAACGAACTTTTTCTGAAGAGTCGAAAACTAGGACATAACAGCTGTCTACTGCTTCTTAGCCTTTAAATTGTATTGCTTTAACTGATATTTTCATGTAAAGAAGTATACCACTGTCGTCATTTGGTGTTACTAGTCTAATGTGTATCAGCTGTTCAATATTTGTCTTTTTTCTATATCAACAGGTGTAAGAACTAATAAAAAGAACATTTTTTTCTCATAAAGTGAAAAATCGGAACACATAATTCTCATGTACTGAAGTGATTCAATGTCCAACATTGTAGGGTTACAAATAAGCACTAAGATGTACAATGTAGCATGAGTTTACGTGGTTCACTGGAGAATACTCAAAGATCACGCTAGTAGATTTGGGTCCGATTCCCACCCCCCCCCCCGCACACACTCAGACAAATGCACTCCTAGACCTCACTATTATGTATTTTATTTCCTAGTGGAACATAGGGCTTCAAGCTGGAGCTTTGAATTTTCTGTAGCAGTGGTTTATATTCTTATGATCCAACCTTCCTTCTTCACCAGTCTTATTAGTGACTTAGATAGGTTTAGGAGTGCGTTGGCTGGGGGTCGAACCTCCGACCGTGCGCATGCTTGGTGAGCATTCCACAGCTGAAACACTGGCGCAAAACTCTCGCTACGCCAGTAGTAAACTCCATAAAGTCTGAAGGTTAGGAGTCATGAATGTGGAAACTTCACCTCTTAATTAGTAAAGAAACAACACTGCTACTGAAATTCCAAAGCTCGGAAGCCGAATAAAGAAAAATCGGACAGGGAACGATATATACGACAAATGGTGTAGTTTTGAAATAGTTGTGTTCTCTGAGATGGATGGTTTATTGGCGAAGCTTTCACTACCCTCTACTAGGCAACATCTTCAAAGCAAAGCTTTTGGATTTCTCCACGAGTTTATTAGTCAGCTCTCCCGGTGATCTTGAACGTGATTGGTTGTTTTTATGTGTTTTCACACCCTCTAGGTTACTTGTATTGGGATTGATTGCTTCCTTGACCTTAAGTTTGATCCTTTGTGTGTGAGATTTCCGTCTTATAGATTGGTAAATTTTGTCTATGTCGATGTGTCTATTGACTGATTCACTAGAATACCAGGCAGGCTTCTAAACATTCTCTAGCATTCTTGCTATTTCCTCTGTCTAATATTTGAACGTTGGTTGTCCCAGTCGAATTGATGTCCGTGGTTGTCTGTATGGAGTGAGTGATATGAAGGATTAGGTGTGATGTCTTTTGATGGCTAGTTTACGTTCATGGATACGAAGACGAAGAGGGGGACTTCCACTTTGGCCAATATAGTGTTTTTCGCAGTCATTGCAATTTATTTTGTAGATGATGTTGATTTACTCTTCTTTTGTTATTCAGCCTTTTGGTTGACATAGAGCTGGATGAAGTGATTTTGTTGGTTTGTGTGCGACAACCACTCCCTCATGTCACCTCACTGCATACAAACAACCAAGGATATCAATTCGACTGGGTCACCCAACGTTCAAATATTAAACAGAGGAAACATCAAGAATGCTAGAAAATTTTTAGAAGCCTGTCTGGTATTCCAGTGAATCACCAACTAATAGGTACGTTGACATAGACAAAATTTACTAATCAACAAGAAGGAAATCTCACACACACACAAAAGGTCAAACTTCAGGTGATAACACACAAAAACAACCAATCTCCTTCAAAGTCATCCACCCACCAGTAGAGATGACTAATAAACTCATGGAGAAATTTAAAAGCTCACTTCATCGAATTGAATTGCATTTGCTGAAGATGTTGCGTAGTAGGACAATGAAAGCTTCGCAAATAAGCCATCCAGTTCAGAAAACACCACTACATCAAAATCATTCTCCTGAGCTTCAAATCTTCTTCATCAGTGACAGTCGTGACTGTACTTTATTTGTACTATAAAATGGACTTATGAAAAATTATGTGACTGGTGGAGGAATAGTAAGCCTATCTGACTGAGTTTCAACTTAGAACTCTACACAAAAATGCGCCACTTCTAATACCACAAAAAGGTGGAGAAAAGATAGAGAGAAAATAAATTTAAAGGGACTGTAATCATCAAAATTGTGCAGGAGAAAGAAACGTACCAATGTAATAACGTAAAAATAAATGCATCTGTGTCATTGAGAATGGTTTTGAGCCAATATCAACATTGGTTCTCAGTATCTTGAGAACCTCAACCAAGCTGTCTATATCGTCCTACCTTTGACGAATCAACTGCCGAAGATTTCATGGATTGATTCGAGGTTTTGATTTGACAATCTTCTAACTCCTTTCCAACCAAATCCTATTTCAGCTAAAAGTGTTCATCAAGACAGACAGTGGCTTGACATCGATGTAGCTCCACAACCTCGTTGATTGGCTTCCGATCCATATTAAGCATTCTACGCTTAACCTAACTACTACCCACCATATTGTACCACTTGACACAGGAGATAGAATGCAAAGATTGTCGGTTAAAGACAGCTAATCTTTCCAGGTCTATCCATGAATAAGTCCCACAGGGTACTGCAGTGCGGTACACCCGTCCTTTGATTGATAGACAGTTATCGACAAATATGAACTTTTGCATCCGTGCTGAAATTTCGTCAACAATCAGTTAACTAGGTCAGATTCAAATAAGCGTCTTGTTTTTAAACTGGAAGTTAGTGCAGACCATTTCTTCAGTCTTATCTTACATTTTACGGGGTCAAACTAGGTCAGTGCTAAAAATCCGAAGATTTTATGTTTAAAGATGTTCAGAAGACCTGCATTTTTTCAATGTGTCTGTCTGTATACTCTAAAACAAAATTACTGCTACCTGGTAAAGAGGGGATCCCTGAGATCCCTCACTAGTTATCATCACTTGAGATGAAATAGGCTTTTACGCAGCAGCATGAGGTCGAGTAAAAGGCTTTGATTTGTATGACGTATCTTCCAGGTGTATAGGTCTCCTATTAGCAGTGCTTCTATTTGTTTTTGATGTAGTTATGTTCTCTGAGCTGGATGGCTTATTTGTGAAGCTTTCATTGACCTTCTAGACAACATCTTTAGTCCATGCAATTCAATTCCATGAAGTCAGCTTTTAGATTTCTCCGCGAGTTTATTAGTCATCTCTCCTGGTTGGTGACCTTCAGCGTGATTGGTTGTTTTGTGTGTTTTCACATCCTATGGGCTATTTGTATTGGTATTGATGCTGACTGTTTCCTTGATCTGAAGTTTTGATCCTAAGTATGTGAGGTTTCCCTCTTATCGATTGGTAAATTTTGTTGATATCAATGTATCTATTGCCAGACGATTCACTGGATGCAGCTGCATACAGACAACCAACGGACATCAGTTTAACTGGGACAACCAACGTTCGAATATTAGACAGAAGAAACATCAAGAATGCTAGAGAATTTTTAGAAGCCTGCCTGGTATTCCAGTGAGTCACCAGTCAATAGAAACATCGAGATAGACAAAATTTACCAACCGATAAGAAGGAAACCTCACACACACAAAGGGTCAAACTTCAGGTCAAGGAAACAATCAACATCAATACCAATACAAGTAGCATAGAAGATGTGAAAACACAAAACGGCAAATCACGCTGAAGGTCACCAACCAGGAGAGATGACTAATAAACTCGTGGAGAAATCTGAAAGCTCACTTCATCGAATTGAAGTGTATGCGCTGAGGATGTTGCCTAGTATGTCAATGGAAGCTTCGCAAATAAATCATCCAGCTCAGAGAACACAAATACATCAAAATCATCCACCTGAGCTACAAATATTTTCTGTTATTGCTTCTCTATGGCCTAGATACATAGTGGACGCTCTTCACGAAAAGCATTTCTTACAGGCTATTGCAGTATTTTATCAAAAGCTGCCTTCATTGACTCAGTACTAAAGATCGGACTGTCAGAAAACATAAGTAACAAGAAACCCCCCCACCAAACGAACCAAGACCTTAATGCTTAAAGCAGAAGCAGACGGAAATGAATTGACCACATACAGGGGAAGCCTATAAGTGACATCACTCACCATGTCAGTCGCTCAAGTGGAAGCCGTATGAGAAACGACAATTTGGGCGTCCGAGGGTAAATTTAGAGACAGCTATAAAAGACAGCGACGAAGAGGTCAAAATGCCGATGTGCTGCTAAAGCCTTATATTCCACTCTAAACCCAAAAGAATGCAGCATTATTTTTTTAAGTGACATCAGTTTGAATTAAATATCCACATTTTAAATACAATTTACATTGATAAAATAGATTACGTAATATACGGCTTACCTAATAAACGATCCGTGATATACGTCAATCGAAATCGATGTCTACCAACACTGGCCAACTCCGCTGACAGACTACACACCAACGACGTTCGACTTTGATCATCATGAAGTCTGTGCTGCCATTGTTGACGCTGTCTGTCTTCTTTCTCATCTTGTCGATCGTCTAAAAAAGACGCCGGTGCAGACGACTGTACATTTGTTGGAACTGTTGGTATCAGACTGGGACTGATACGTTGTTGTAGGGGATCAGCATGAAAACTGTCCACTTTAAAGGATTTATCAGTTGCATTTTTCGATGGGAATGGTGCAATCCAAGCTGATGGTATAGCGTGTTCATCGAATTGTTTGTTCCGACTAAGCTTTAAGGAAAATGAAAAGTCAACGAATCGAATCAACGTTGAGTGAGTGAATTTTGCTTCAAATCAATACCGACGTTTAAAACTAGTAGGGCAACTAAGGATTTAAATCATTCACAGGAAAACAAAGAATGATATAATTTAATAATTCCTATCGTAGCATTAAGAACACAATATTCAGTGAAGAGACTCTTTCCAACGAATTTATTATCAGAGTGGTTGGAGGATTTCATCATGAGCTGACATCAGTTAGAGAATCCCTACAAAACCAATACTTGAAAATTGATCTGATGCTCACTAGTGACTGGCACTATTCAGGTAGTACTGGGAGTACTGCCAGACAGCTGTTTCGTCAGTCTAGTTTGGGACTTTTCAGAAGTACACACCCACCCATTACCTTCTGGCTACAAGGCTAGTGAGCTCGTAAAGCAATAAACCACTGGTACCCCATCCACTGGCCAGCCCATGATTTCCAACTTCTACCAATTCGTGACATAGTGCAACCACTAGCTAATGTCTTCAATGGCTCATGAATTCTAACTAGCGACCGGCAGTTACCTTGTATTCTAGTGGGAAACCGTGACCAGTAGGGTACAGCAATTACTCATCGAAGAAGACATGGCTATGTGGTTGTGCTTTGTCGGGAACTGGCTGAAGTTAGAATTTGATATAAGATAGTTGGAGGTAATCGGAAGGAAGCCTTGCCTCGCTTAGGTTTCGTGCTAGTTGGCACTCTTCAGCAAATCGTATCTGCAACCTTGAAGGAACTCATGTCAATTCTGAGATTCGAACCCGTTTCACCCAGTGCTGTAGTCAGAGACGTTACCACTGAGCCAGCTATTCGGGTTCGCGATTGACTTCCTGTAGGACTGTAGTGGGTATTTTGATTGGACACTAGTAACTAGTGTGACGTATCTAATCCTTCTATGGTGCAGACTGAATTCTATCAGTCAGGTATTTGCAATGTGGCCACCATTCTAGGTAGCTGGACATCATGGTGCACATTGATTTGATATTAGATAGAATTCATGGTCTGGGCATTGGATTGGGTCCCAGTAGCTTAATGGTCTCCGAGCTCACTAATCTTCTAGCCAGAAGGTCATAGGTTCGAGCCGTGTTGGAGGGTGGGTGCGTACTGATGAAGAGTTCCAAACTAGGCTAAAAGAAACAGCTGGCTGTCCAGTACTCCAAGCTGGTTTTCCAATTGTCCTCTAACTTACGTCAGCTTATGATGAAATCCTTGAACCACTCAAAAAAAAATTCCTATAAACCAATGCTTGAAAATTTATTATCAAGCTGTACAATCGTATATATATATATATGGATTTTTTAAGAAATTATATCCGGTGAGGCAATTGGATCAAAGGTTTTAATACATGAAATCGCGATAATAATAATAATATTAGTATGAAATTCAGTTAAAATACTTGTGATTATAATCTACATGGATACGAGGACATATTCCATCAGCATGGTTGTACAAGGGAGAAAGGAAGTGTGTGCGAAGCTCTCTCTATTCGAGAACACCTGATCGACTCCTGTCACTCTGCCAAGCCTGACTATGATTTTAAGATCATCTGTCGAATCCATGCTAACTTCCCGCGTTTCTCTTCGTTACAGACTTCTAAAGACAGCAGAGGCCTTGACAATTCATGACTTTAAGCCAGACCTTCGTGTACAAAAAAAGTAAGTACAATCTCTACTTCTGCCCTGGCCGTAAAGGGATAGACATTTATTTATTTTGTTTATTTAGTTAATCTGTGTACCTTTCCCTTAGTACGGCGATTATTATTATTATTATTATTACTATTCTCACTTTCAATCGTTTCCGCCTTTCATTCTAAATCCAAATATTTTTTACCATTTCACGCAATGTTACGTAACGTTTTATATTTGCCTACTATCCCTATAATTATACACTCCCTACCAGCATCTATACATCTTATGAATTATTCTATGCATGACATTAATTATTCTGCCAACTGTCACATGATATTTGATTATGATTTTAATCACGAATATTTTCAGTGCATTTCATACAATCATTATCATTATTTCATGTATTCACACCTATGATTCAATTCCCTCAACGGGAGTAATTCTTTAAAAACCACATGTATGTCTACGGTTGTACAGCTTGATACTGAATTCGTTGTTGGAGAGAGCCTCTTCCCTGAATATTGTGTTCTTAAAGAATGAAATGCCTTGCTAATAAAATGTAGCGCCGGGTTTCAATAAAACAAGAACAGTGGTTCGTGCGGAATGTGTGTGGGCATACATTCAATAAGAGATGTTATGGTGCTTTACATGTGGTGGTGACTTGAAACACAATTAAATTGAAAAAAACTCGACAAACACAGGTGGTAGACTACTGAACTCCGTCTGTCTTTAGCTAAACATTCAACTGACATGAAACACAAAATTTAATTGAATTTAAGATTTCCCCGTCGATTGACTGGACCAAAGTGCTCCGTCTCAGGTTGACATGTCTGTTGGCTTCTTGCGCAGATGCTTCAACGATGTTCGGGCATTTAATTAGAATTTAATTTGTGGATGGTAACTAGCAATGGAATCCACCAGGATGTGCATTTCGTCTCACTTGGGAATCGTCATCTGGATGTACCTGCATTCCACGATGAGTGATGATGTTCCCACCGAGACTCGAACCCTGTGCCCATAGTTTTAAACGCCAAAGTGTTATCCACTAGACCACTTGGGCAACGGGTAATATTAATTATTGAGTTCAATTTTAGATTCTCCCGTCAATTGATCGGACCGAAGTGCTCGGTCTCAGAATCACAAGATTGTTATCAGAAGAGATTTGCAGGATTATCGATAAAATTTGTCAGAGGCGCATAATGAAATATGCTGGGGTGATAGCTATCCGTAAAATTAAGTCCCCACGATCACCAGTGTGTGTACGAAAATAACTTAATACTACTCATAACCTACCTTGGTACTGTTTATCGGCCTATATTACCCAAAGGAGTGCTAATTATTGTCCCCCTTTTTCGTAAATTTGCTGAAATTTCATTGATTTATACTAGTTGCACAAAAAGATGACGATGATGACCCAAGTGGTCTAGTGTATAACCCTCTGGCATTTCAAACGATGGGCTCTGGGCTTGGACATGAGTGAGAGCAACATCACTAACTGGATATTGCAGGTATATTCAGCTGACGAGTCTCCATAGGGTGAAATACGTGTCGTCAATTCTACTGCTAAACACCTTCGACTGAATTACTTTTATCCTTTAGTTTAATTCATCTGGCCTTTCGCTGTTTTCATATTTCATATAAAATGAATGACAAGTACAGATGTGTGATAAGATTGTTGGAAATGTATATTTTGAGTGTTATTATTATTGCCTTATATTCCAAGTGGAACATAGGGCTTCAACAACACATCCTCACTTTCTTCTATTTTCTCCTGTCCTCCTCAGCTGAGTCCACGACTGCCCATAATCTTCCAATTCCTCCTTCCAAAACGATCTCCTCAATGTTACCACTCCTCCGCATTGACGACACACTTGTTGTTTTCGATTGGGATTCAACTTGAGTGATGGACTAGCACGATGTCATTCAACAGCCTCCTCAATGGAGTGCGCCCGATCAATACATCTCCATTTTCTCCTACATATTTGTTGAGCCAATCTTCTCTTGCTTGTTGGTTTGTTTCACTGAAGAGTTTCTTGTTGCTAATTCTTTCTGGCTGACCGATCGGCTGGCCATTTGGTCTTCAGTACGGGCCAGAGGAGGCAACAGCTGTTGATAAAAGTCTACAGTAACCTGTTTGATATGCTTTACGTGACCCACGCGCAGTACACGTTTCTGACCCGTATAGAAGAACTGACTGACTGATTTCACATTTGTAATGAACAGAATCCGAATATTGTTCTTTATACTTCTGAGTGCAGAAGATTTCCAAACTGGTATCACCTTGATGAAGGCGTATCTCGTCCTTCCGATTACGGCTGGCTAGTTTTGACATCTTCATCTGTGCCAGTGCCTGTGGTTGAAATGATGCTTTCTAGCTAGATAAGTGAAGGAAGCGACCTCTGTCAAATCTCTCCCATTGCTGGTGATTGGTGTTGTTTCTTTTTCTTTTTGTTGTTGTTGTTGTTGTCGGCAGTGGTTGGTTATCTTCATCACCTCCGTCATCTCTATGTTTACTTGGAGTCACAATACGTTTTAGATAAACTCCGTCTTCTGATATAATGCTTTCCGAACTTGATTAAGAAGTCCAGCTGCTCTAAACTTACAGAAACAGTGGTTATTCTTTTCAAATACGACTGAAATCTTCTAGAGAGAGATGTCTGATTTGTGTCCTAGTAATTACCTACAGTTTAGCGACAAATTACATTGTCGAACAGAAGGGATATTTATCAGATCTCAAATATAGGAGTGATTTCTGGAACGGTGGCACTGTTGTAGGATTCAGTCGTCATTCCAACGATTAAATCTACAACTGTATGCGGTTACACTGACGATACGTTTGTCGGGAGAGATTCGATTGGTTTTAAGTTAAGTTTCACCCCGAAGCGATTTCATGCAGAGAACCAATGAAAATTAGTGAGCACTAGACAGCCGTTTCTGACCAATTTGTAACTCTCCATTACCACGCACCCATGACCCATTTTGAGGATCGAATTTAAGACCTTCTCGTAACTAGGGCACTTGGATGAAATCATATGAATTCATGCTTGTCAAAACCAATAAATAATATAGGGAGCAGCAAGTGATAAGCTTTCAACCTCATGAAAATTACTTATCAAAAGAATGCAGGATGTCACAGCTATCTGGAGTGAAAAAAGTATCAACCTACACCAAATACGTCGAGGACTGGTAGTTTCCAAATATTCTCTTGTGGTTATGCATCCATAACCTCTACCAACTAATTCCTATTCGCTGATTTTCTACGACAGAGGTGTTCCTCACAAAAGTGACAGGATCAATGTGGAAGATTGGTGGACAAAATGGTCTAGGTAAGGAAACTGAGAAGC